CCAGGGGTCCTCAAACTACGGCCCTCGGGCCATATGCAAATACAAATATTGTATTTGTTCCCGTTTTGTTTTTTTACTTCAAAATAAGATATGTGCAGTGTGCATAGGAATTTGTTCATAGTTTTTTTTTAAACTATAGTCCGGCCCTCCAACGGTCTGAGGGACAGTGAACTGGCCCCCTGTTTAAAAAGTTTGAGGACCCCTGCTCTAGAGTCTAGACACTGAGCCAAACCAGCAAGAGAGAGAGAGATGCTTTAACAAAATTGGAACTCGCGTAACCTACTAAAATCCAGTTTGTACAGGTGAGGTAACAGGATGTTGGGATTTGCTTGATTCTTAAAAGTGATGAGTTTTTATAACTTAGGAAGAAAGAGAGAGTCTATAAGAAATAAGGGTGTAGCCCTAGCCGGTTTGGCTCCATTGATAGAGCGTTGGCCTGGGGACTGCAGGGTCCAGGGTTCCATTCCGGTCAACGACACATGCCCAGGTTGCAGGCTTGATCCCCAGTAGGGGGCGTGCAGGAGGCAGCCAATCCATGATTCTCTCTCATCATTGATGTTTCTCTCTCTCTCTCTCTCTCTCTCTCTCTCTCTCCCTGTCCCTTCCTCTCTGAAATCAATAAAAATATATTTAAAAAGAAAAGAAAGAGCAGACAGAGGGCCCCTGGCAGGGTGGTGCCCAGGAGAGGGCAGTGGGCGGGCGGACGCAGACCCCGAGCAGTGAGTGCACGCCCATCCCGCATTGTGGGTCTTATGGAGAATCTAGGCCAGGGGTCCTCAAACTTTTTAAACAGGGGGCCAGTTCACTGTCCCTCAGACCGTTGGAGGGCCAGACTATAGTTTTAAAAAAAAACTATGCGCCAAAACCGGTTTGGCTCAGTGGATAGAGCGTCGGCCTGCGGACTGAAGGGTCCCGGGTTCGATTCCGGTCAAGGGCATGTACCTGGGTTGTGGGCACATCCCCAGTGGGAGATGTGCAGGAGGCGGCTGATCGATGTATCTCTCTCATCGATGTTTCTGGCTCTCTATCTCTCTCCCTTCCTCTCTGTAATAAATCAATAAAATATAAAAAAAAAAAACTATGAACAAATTCCTATGCGCACTGCACATATCTTATTTTGAAGTAAAAAAACAAAACGGGAACAAATACAATATTTGTATTTGCATGTGGCCCGCGGGCAGTAGTTTGAGGACCCCTGATCTAGGCGTTTCAGAAAAGTCTAAGGGTACTTCTTCCTCGCACACACATTCACCGGCCGAGGAAAACTTCCCTGGCAGGAAGTCAGGGTCTGCGAGGAGAGCGGAACTGAGCCGGGAGTGTGCAGAAGGGAGGCCGGTCCCGGAGAAATAAAACCACAGCACCGTCCGCAGGGCTCCCTGCGCCGGGGAAATGGTCTCCCGGGCTGACGCCATCCAAGGTGGTCCTGACCGTGGAGGGCGTGAAATGTGAACTGACCTGGTGGTTGTGTCATGTGAATTGAATTCCAGCGGCCACTGTGTGGATCCGAGCCGGTGTGGGGGCCGAGGCATTCCTACCCGCCTGGCACTGCTCTAAGCACTTGCCAGGTGTCCAGCCAGTCATTCGCTAATGACCGTCTTTATGTCACAGCCACCAGGAGGGCAAGGTGCTGCCATTGTCCCTGAGTTCCCAGGCCCGAGGCAAGAGCCCTTGCCTGCTGCGTGGACAAAGGGCTCCAGAACAGAAGCCGGGAGGAGAGGAGATTGGAGCCGTCCCCGCGAGGTGAGGGACAGCGGTGGCTGGCACTGGGGTGGCGGCACTGAGGCGGCATGAATGGACCGGAGGACAGGGTGGGGGAGGAGACACGGCACTTCTTATAAAATAGAAATCATAAGCACCACGCTCTGTTCTCAGCCCTTCTCGTGTATTATCTCATCTAATCCACAGAACAACCCTCTGAGGGTTGCTGCTCCTGCAACACCCATTTCCCAGATGAGAAAAGTGAGGCGGCCGGGAATGTAAGAGACCTGAGTCCTCACGGTTAGCAGGTGGCAGAGAACTTCTGCAAGTTGAACTCCAGCCCCCTCCCTGAGAGGCTTAAAGCGCCGAGAGAGTACGGAGCCCCCTTTCAAGGCAGGAAGCCACGAGGTGAGAGGCGGGGACTGTGCTACCCACCAAAACACGAAAGGTCAGCGTGGCTGGCAGGTGGCCAAGAGGAGGCTGGAAGATCCAGAGATGCCACGTTAAAGAATTTGTACTTTATCCTGGGGTAATGGGGAGCCATGGATGGTCTTTGAGCTGCAGAGGGACTGGGTTAGCATTCAGCGTAGAAAGATGGCTCTGGCCACTGTGAGTAGGTGGGGACCCGAGAGGAGGCTGGAGCAGGGATCCGGGCCAGTGAAGACGGGAGCTTGGATTAAGGGTGACGACCAAGAAGAGGAAGAGAAGTGGGTGGACTTAAGAGCGCAGAGAAGGCGGGACTTGGCCTCCCTCCTTGAGCACCTGTGGGATGTTTCTGGAAGGATCCGCCGTGAACTGGTGTCCACGGTTGCCCCAGGGGAGCAGTGGCAAGGAGCCTGGGGCTCTGAGGAGGGCGGGAGAGTGGCTCTTCACTTCACACCCTCCGGCGCTGGGAACTAGTTTACAGGAAGAAGCAGAAGTCGAAGCTAACCGGGGGCCATCAGAAGGAGCAGGGTCTAAAAGGTGAAGTGAGGGGATGAGGCAACTCCGCTCCGCGCTCTCCTGCTTCCCCTCCCCCCCAGGAAGCAAGACTTACAGGAAGAAGCAGAAGTCGAAGCTAACCGGGGGCCCTGTTCTGAAGTCCCGTCCGCAGGAGCAGGGTCTAAAAGGTGAAGTGAGGGGATGAAGCAACTCCGCCCCCCCTCCTGCTTCCCTTCCCCCCGATGAAGCAAGAGGAGAGCTCTGAGCACACACAGCAGGTGCTCAATCACGGCCCGGCCGCACCCACACGCGGGCGCCTGGACCCGGTCTCCCGCGGGCACTCACAGAATCCGTGGACCAGCCTGGCTCTCCCACCAACCACCAGGGACCCGGGCTGTCCGGTCCGACAAAGATCTCACACTCTGAGTGGTTCTTACTAAACGCTATTCTTTTTTTCCCCCCAATATATTTTTATTGGGGGTTTTTTTTACAGAGAGGAAGGGAGAGGGATAGAGAGCTAGAAACATTGATGAGAGAGCAACATCGATCAGCTGCCTCCTGCACACTCCCTACTGGGGATGTGCCTGCAATCAAGGTACATGCCCTTGACCGGAATCGAACCCGGGACCCTTCAGTCCGCAGGCCGACGCTCTATCCGCTGAGCCAAACCGGTTAGGGCTAAACCCTATTCTTGCTCCAAGTTAAAATACAGCCCGGGATTTTGCAGACAGGCTGTGGACAGGAGGAGCTTGAGAGGGACCCAGCCTGTGACGTGTAGCCAAAGGCGCAGAAGGGGGCTCTTTTATTATCACTGTTCCAAATGTACAAAAAAAAATTAGAAAATAACCCCCCAACTTAATTCCCCCCACCCACAGCAACACAAATAATTTTTCCCAAAAGCACAAACATAAACTGGTCCTGGTATTTCCACAAACAGTGCAGCTAAGAAACAGTTTAGAGAACATTGAACAGGATTCAGATAATATCCATCTATCCTCTCAGCCCTGAGAGGTAATAATCCCATGTGGGTACCAGTCCTTCCTAATGGTTTTTCCAGCTCTGGTGGAAGAGTCCTTTACAAAGTGGAGACATGGGCGACAGGGCCACAGGGAGAGTGGGGTGGGGGGAGAAGGGGAAGGGAGTTGAAGAGGGGGTGCCAGAAAGAGAGAGCCAAGGCCCCGGCACCCACCCCGCTTCTAGACTCACCATATTCGGTCTCCCTAGTTCTCCGCGGACCGGGGCCCTCCTGCCCGAGGTCTGTGGTTTTTATGGCCCTGAGGGAGGTGCAGATAGGGAGGAAGGAAATGACCCGTCCCTCGGCCCTCGGCCCTGAGGTCCTCATTGGTCTGCACTCCCGGGTACCGAGGCTGGGGCTCCTGTGGGGCAGCCAGGGGAGCAGAGATCAGGAACCTCCCTCCCGCCCAAGGAGGGAGGAAGCCAGAGGGAAGAGATGCCTGCCCGGTTTCCACGCGGCCCCTCTCCGGCCCTGGTTTCCCCATTTGAGACCATCTCTCTCTCTCTCCTCCTAGGGCCCCTGCGTCAAAAAGCTTAGAGTCCATGCCCTAGACCAGTGATGGCGAACCTTTTGAGCTCGGCGTGTCAGCATTTTGAAAAATCCTAACTTAACTCTGGGGCCGTGTCACAGATAGAAATTTTTTTGATCTTTGCAACCGCAGTAAAACAAAGCTTTATATTTTTGATATTTATTTTATTTGGCTCAGTGGATAGAGCGTCGGCCTGAGGACTGAAGGGTCCCAGGTTCGATTCCGGTCAAGGGCATGTACCTTGGTTGCGGGCACATCCCCAGTGGGGGGCGTGCAGGAGGCAGCTGATCGATGTTTCTAACTATCCCTCGCTCTTCTTCTCTGTAAAAAAATCAATAAAATATATATTTTTAAAAAGCTCAGAGTCCAACCTGCCTGAACGCCCCTGAGGTCCTGGGCAGCAGGGAGGGCGAGCCCAGCCTCCCAAGCAAGTTGCTTCGAGGCCCGAATGAAACCGGACAATCACTGGGTCCGGGCTGCCTGCCACTGCTTGAGCCAATTCTGCAGACGGGGTTGAATCGTATGTGAGCGTGTATTCCAATCCTGCGGGCAGTAAGGGAGAGCAGCAGGCCATCCACAAAAAATCTGCTCTGCAGCCCCCCATAAGCCAGCTGCTCACACTGGGTAGAAGGATGAAGATGACTTGGAGAAGCAGGCGAAAGAGATAAGAATGGGGGTATGCAAGATGGGCGCTTTGCAGGTAACGCTGGCTCAGGGTTCGCCAAGGGCTGGTGGCATGCAAAGGGCTGGTGCCCCTGGTTTCTGCAACAAGGCTGTTACTCTTTCCAGGATGATAAGCAGCTCCCAGATTTCCAGGGGAGCTCCCAAGGTCCCCCATGCAGCTCCCAGCCAGGTTAGAATGTGCCTTCTTTAATCAGAACAAAACAATCGCAGTTCACAGAGCATGGTTAATTTTTTTATTTATTTATTGGTTTGAGAGAGAGACATCCATTTGTTTTTTGTTTGTTTGCTAATCCTCACCAGAGGATATTGTTCCATTGATTTTTAGAGAGAGCGGAAAGGAGGGGGAGAGGCAGAGAGAGAATCACTGATGGAGACACATCGATTGATTGCCTCCCACAAGCAGCTGGGGATCGAGCCTGCAACCAGAGCACGTGCCCCTGACTGAAATCGAACCCGGGACCCTTCAGTCAGCAGGTTAACGCTCTATCCACTGAGCCAAACCAGCTAGGGCAACAGAGCATGATTGATATTGCTTACTAGAGGCCCGGTGCACGAATTCGTGCACCAGTGGGGTCCCTCGGCCTGGCCTGTGGGACTGGGCCAAAACCACAGCTCTCTGACATCCCCTGAGGGGTCCCAGATTGCAAGAGGGCACAGGCCAGGCCGAGGGACCCCACCAATGCACAATTGGGGCCAGGGAGGAACGCAGGAGGTTGGCCAGCTGGGGAGGGACCGTAGGAGGGCTCCAGGGCATGTCTGGCCTGTCTTGCTCAGTCCTGATCAGACAGACCCAGCAGGAAGCTAACCTACCAGTTGGAGCGTCTGCCCCCTGGTGGTCAGTGCACGTCATAGCGACTGGTTGACTGGTTGACTTTCTGCCCCCTAGTGGTCAGTGCATGTCATAGTGAGCAGTTGAGCGGCCTTAGCATATCATTAGCATATTACACTTTGATTGGTTGAACGGCTGACCAGACGATTGGACACTTAGCATATTAGGCTTTTATTATATAGGATAATTATAGCTGGTGCCCAATATTCTATTTCTGCACTAACATTTCCCCACTGCTATTTCTATCATCTCATAGCTATGAGATTAGTTTTAGATGAAAAATCTCATCTTTTCATCTGGACTGCATCTGCTTCTGCCTTGAAAGCAGCTCTTGGGGATGGAATACAGCAAATGCAGGATCTAAAAAGAGGGAGACATTGCATACAGCAGCAAGCTATCAGACCACAAAAAATAAACAGGAGAAAAACTAAAAGGAATTCCCGCAACCCAGACAGGCTGGGTAGCCAGGATAAGTCAAATCCAAAAAACCCTTCTCGTTGTTTTACCTTGGAGATGGTTTTCCTAATGCGTTGAACGTTGTTTTCTATCAACTGAGAATTGTCAGAAAGATTAAAATAGCACATTCCTTGCCGAACCGGTTTGGCTCAGTGGATAGAGCGTCGGCCTGCGGACTCAGGGGTCCCAGGTTCGATTCCGGTCAAGGGCATGTACCTGGGTTGCGGGCACATCCCCACTGGGGGGCATGCAGGAGGCAGCTGATCGATCTCTCTCATCGATGTTTCTGGCTCTCTATCCCTCTCCCTTCTTCCCTGTAAAAAATCAATAAAATATATTTAAAAATAAAAATAAAATAGCACATTCCTCTCCATTCCTCACAGCCGTGGTTATGCTGCAACAGCAAGTAACCTATCACTGCCTGATTCTCTAGAACTGCCCCCCGGACCTGGCTCAGCTCTTGATCCATCCCATATACGGCTCCGGAAGTGGCATTCAGGGCTTTGACCGTGCTACACGCCAGCCAGGCCACCTCTACATTAAGGGAGCCCACCATTACCAGCATAACAAAAGTGGTCAAAGCAATATATTCAGCCTGGCTTCCCCGGTGGAGATGGTCATTGTAGTCGGTGCCACCGCTGTGAGAAGGGCCTTTTTTGGTTTGGACCCTGTGATGTTTCAGGGGCAGAAAGACAGTCAGTCGTCCTCAGGAACAAGGCCCCCGTGCTGTTGAGAGGGATAAATGAGTAAACAGTTACCCCCACTTATCAGAGAGCAACCAGCCGGCAGCTCAGGCTGTCCATTCCTACAAGGGAGGGTGAAATGATGAGTACGTTTCGTGTTGTAGTTATTAGATCCTGAAAGACGGCATTCACCCTGGGAACTACTGCAGAAATGTTTAGAGAAAACATCCCTGCATCCTCCTCCTGGGCGGTGGGTCCCAACATGCGAAGCTCCCCATCGGTGACTTTCTTCCCAAAATGAATAGAATAATTCTACATATTAGCAATAGGTTTCCCAACTTCTGGTGACATCCAGAGTCCAGGCACGTTAGACATGACATTCCAAAGTCTCTGTAAATAAAAACCACAATTGGAAACTGTTCTGACTGAATCCATGCAAAGAAACGTATTCACTCATTAAGAATTGCCAAATTCTGCCCTAACCGGTTTGGCTCGGTGGATAGAGCATCAGCCTGCGGACCAGAGGGTCCCGGGTTTGATTCCGGCTGGGGGCACGTGCCTTGGCTGCGGGCACATCCCCGGTGGGGTGCGTGCAGGAGGCAGCTGATCGATGTTTCTCTCTCATCGATGCTTCTAACTCTCTATCCCTCTCCCTTCCTCTCTGTGAAATATCAATAAAATATATTTTTTTTTAAAAAAAGAATTGCCAAATTCTGGAGGGATCGGGTAGAGAGAAAAATATGTAATTTACCAAATTGCTGTTAAAATGCTTTCTTCTACCTGAAACACAAAAAGTTTAAGAATCAGCAATACTTTCAGCAAAAGTTACAATTCATTCAGCCCCATAAGCAGTTTTTTGTTACTCTTGATTTTTCCTGCCAGTACTTCTATAAAGATATTCTGTTGAGTTCTAATAATTTTTATCCAGTTTGAAGGGGATGATCTGAAAATGTCAGAATCCTTTCCATGGATCCTTCAGAAGATGTAACATTTTTCCAAATGCATTAGAACAAAAGAGTGACTGTCTCTAAATGACAAAAAGAGATTTAAAAATGACACGGCTATGGATTTTATTATATGCAAATGACATGGAATCTTGTCCTTTTTGGAAAACACCATATTCCAGAATAATAAGTTAGAATTATAAATGAAAGCATATCAGAATCTACTTTAATAATATGCCTATATAAATAGAATATAGTTATTATTTCTTTATTTGACAAAGTTCCCATGCCCCTTAATTATAAAATTTTTCTTCATAAGGAGAAAAAACAAACCCTTGAGTCGTTCCAGGGCCTATTGGAATGACCTAAAGCCAATTCTAGGTTAAAAAAAAAGTTTCCTGCCCTAACCAGTTTGGCTCAGTGGATAGAGCATCAGCCTGTGGACTCAAGGGTCCCAGGTTCGATTCTGGTCAAGGGCATGTACCTTGGTTGCGGGCACATCCCCAGTGGGGAGTGTGCAGGAGGCAGCTGATCGATGTTTCTAACTCTCTATCCCTCTCCCTTCCTCTCTGTAAAAAATCAATAAAAATATATTTTTTAAAAAAGTTTCCTAAAATTCAAACCCTGGAAAGGTTGTCAAACTTATTTACCAAAAGATTATATATCATCATTATTATTAAGTAGTATTAGACTATTTATTCATTCAAAGTGACAAAAGTGTATTAAACGCAAACATAGACTAGCAAAACTTCAGTTCCCACAATTAAGATCACTTCTTTTAAGTAATTAAGTACCTGATTAAAATAACACAATATATAATTATTTCAATAATTTATAGAACTTTTGCTTCCTGGGCAAATACAGGAAAAACTTTTTTTCTTTTAACAGACTGGAAAAGGACTAACCAAATCTAAATTAGCTTACTTTAGATTCATTTATTTAATTAAATTCATCATTCAGATGACCTATAATGTCCTTTAAGATTTCTTTTTACAATTCTTCTATAACTTTCACAGACTTTCTTAACCACTCAGCTTTAGAAAAACTGACTTTTTTTTCCCCTTCAAAATGCATCTCCATACCACATGCCTTCTACTACCAAAACCATACAATTTCTTTCTAATTAGTTGGAATGTTTCCTTAAATT